GTTCCTGTATGGAAAACAAAAATTGAAACCTATGTATGAAACCCATGTAATTTGTTTTAAGAAAGAAAATTATATTTTCCTAAAATAAATTACATTTTTTTCTTTGAGTAATTTGTATTATGAGAAGGGCCAGAAAGATTTTTCCTAAAATTTGTGTATTCACACTGATAACTTCAAATCAATGCTAATATTGTGTTGGAACTGTTTATTAATTATAAGTCCATAATGTAACCTGTCTTATATTAGTGGTTTTCTTAGTTTGACTATTAACTGATTAATGATTCTCTTAGGCTTATTTGAACAAAATGTTTTTAAATGTTCACACATTCAAAGAAAATATGATTAGAAGATAGAAATAATTACCCCTAAAACTCTAAGATATTCCTGATTACCTCGCAGTGATGAATCTCCTTAAGAACAACGGGCAAAGAATACAGCAACTGAAAGCATCAAATTCCATTACTAGTGTTTGATTAAGAAGGTAAGTCAACATATATGCTACAACACTTCCCATCTTAAAATGTTATTTTCAAATTTAAATTTAAATTTAAGACCAGAATATTTTTGGTGTTGCATATGTTTTCTGAGACTTCCTAAAACAAATAATCTATTTACTTTAAGACACATTGTTAAAAAACCTATAACAAGTATCCACTCCCACCAGCAATGAAGGAGTGTCCCCCTTGTTCCACATCCTTGCCAGCATGTACTATCGCTTGAGTTTTTGATCCCACCCACTTTGATTTCTCTAAAACAGAACCATAGAGTTGTTTTGATTTGCATTTCAGTGATGACTAAGGACTTTGAGCCTTTCTTTAAGTGCTTCTTGGCCATTTTCAATTCCTCTGTTGAGAATTCTCTGTTTAATTCTGTACCCCATTTTTTAAATTGGGTTACTCCGGTTGTTGGTGTCTTACTTCTTGAGTTCTTTATAGAGTTTGGATATTAGGCATCTGTCAGATGTAGGATTGGTCAATATCATCCTGAATGAGGTAACCCAGTCTCAAAATGACATGCATGGTGTGTATTCACTTATAAGTAGATATTAGTCATAAAATACATGTACAATGCCATACTCTACAGATTCAAGGAAGCTAAACAAGAAGGAAGGCACAAGCAAGGATGCTTGAATCTCACTTAGAATAGGGAATAAAATAGTCATAAGAGGGAGATGAAGGGAGGAACTGGGAGGTAGAAAAATGGGGAGGGGAATGGGAGAGGGTCAGGATCAGGTGTGGGGAGTAACAGGAGAGATGGCAAGATGGTCATGAAAATGAATAGAAATCTGCAACTGACAGGGGTGGAGAGGAGGGGTATATTTCTAGGACTAGACAGAGAGCTGGGATAAGGGAGATGCCCAAGATTCAATGAGGATGACCTTAGCTGTGACTCATAACATTGGAGATATGTAATCTGAATAGGCCAACTCCTGTAGCCAGATAGGAACCCCAGTAGAGCAACAGAGTCATCATTCTACACACAAAACTTTCAACCCCAAATTTGTCCTGTCTACAAGAAATGCAGGCACTGTGGAAGGAGCAGAAACTGAGGGAATGGTCAACCAATAACCAGCCCAAATTGAGACACATCCCATTGGCAAACACTAATCTCTGACACTATTAATAATATTTTGTTAGGCTTGCAGACAGGAGCCTAGCATGGCTATCTTCTGAGATGATCCACCTAGCAGCTGACTCAGATGGAACTTGGGAACTCTTATGGAAGAATAGGAGGAAGAATTGTAGGCCCCAAAGGGGATAGGAATGCCACAGGAAGACCAACAGAATAAAAAAAACCATGGAACTTTGGTGATCTCAGAATATGAACTAACAATTCAAAGAACATTACATGGACTGGACCTAGGCTTCCCTGAACATATGTAACAGATGTGTGTCTTGGTCTTCATGTTGGTCCGAAACAACTGGAGCTGGGGTCATCCCATGCCTGTGGGTGGGATATGTTCCTCTAGCTGGACTGCCTTGTCAGTCCTCAGTGGGAGAGGCAGAGCCTAACTTTTCACAGACTTGAAGTGCCAGGATAGGGGGATAACTGGGGAGGCACCTGCTCAGAGAAGAAGAGGATAGTGGATGGTAGATGGGGGACGTTAAATGGGGGATGGGGGAAGGATTATGGGAGAAGATGACTGGGAGGAGGCAGTGAGCAGGATGTAAAATGAATAGGTAAAAATTAAAATAAAATTTAAAGAATATAACATTGTCTCTTATGAGGAATAATTATATACTTAAATATTGGTGGCATCCCATTCATATGTAATGACAAATGTTGAAAATATATTAGTTGCATGTTAAATTTACTGAAAAATTCATAAATTATGATATTTATCATTTATAAATTATAATATACCATGGTTTACTATTTTTTAGCTTTTCAAACATTGTAAGATCAATGAAATGTATACACACTTTTTCCTCTCCAGATTACTACTTTAGTAAGAAATTTTTTATTTTGAAAAAAAAAAAGGTTCAAATAATCAGGCTCCTCATAAAATATACAATATTCTCTATAGTAAACAAATATAAACATTATGACAGCACTCTTCTAAAGGATGCATTTCATAAGCCATGTCCCATTCACAAAATTATATTGCTACATTGTGTTGAATCTCAGGGTACTCATTGGGATCGCATACATTGCTCTAACTAAAAGTTGCTCTTGTGTGCTACAACTAAACGAGATTTCCTTTGCATGCAGGGAAGCCACTACTAAAATTATGTATAAATGGAAACATCTATTTCCTGCATAGTAATAGATTACTTTGGAGACAGTTAACTAAAAAAGCATATATTATTGTCATAAAGATGCATCAAAATAAAACCCAAAAAGTCAAAACTAAAATGAACAAATTGCAGAATAAAAGTTAACAAACCAATAAACAGATAAATATTAATTATAAATACAATTACAAATATTAATATATAAATAACCAAATAAAAATTAAACATCAAGGAATACTAGAGTAAAACCAGGTCTAGAGCCATATGAATTAATAAACAGAGGAAAGACATGTGGATGAATAGTGAGAATGTACAGAAGCTAATAGGGAAGATCTGGTATAGTTCTCATTTTGGACAAGTGTCTAGGTAAAGAAACACTGAAATTTCTAAAGCCACTATGTACTGCAGTGCCTCTTCAGCATTGGCACTGTCTCTGTCATTCTCTCCTTTCTCAGACACACTTCATCATCCTTAATTAAACGCAAGTGGTCATTACCCTAGTCTTCACTATCACCCTCTACTAAACCCCACTCTGACCTGCCCCAGACTCTATCTTCAGGATGCTATCACCTTACCACATAGACCTGAGGTTCTTCACCACTTGTGATTTCCTGTTCCTCACTCTTGATTGTTTGCTCTGTCTTTCTTCAATTCTCCTTCTCCCCAAGCTTTCTAGTTCACAACCCACTGTGTTTTATCTGTGTCAGCTTCTTCTCAATATCCCATAGGCCATTTCCATCCAATTTTAAAGGCTTGAAAGAGGATCCAGCTGTCCACTCACAGAACTGAAACCACTTTTTCCCCTTGATGAAATGTTTTCTTATACATGATAACGTTTAGAGGACATTACAATAGAAATATTAGGAGGAGGGAGAAGAAGGGGAAACTAAAGATAAAGAATAACGTAAGTAGGATATAGGACATAGAAAAGGCAGCTACCATGGGCAAGCCTAACTACGAAACAATATGTCCTAGAACTGTTCATTAACTCCTCAATAGCCAAGTAAGAAAATTATCAACTTAGACTTATGAGACAGGAAGTTGCCTACAACCCACTGAGAGTCCATTTGTTGCAAGGTTATACATTTATACTTGTCATAGGAATGTGTAACTCACATTATGCTTTTTAGAGGAATGTGGAATTTAACATATCAGAATCCTCTTTAAATTACACTACAACTTCATCTTGCAAATGATCAAGTCAGTAGGCGCTACAAAATACAGAGGTCAGCTTGAAACTGTAGAGCAGATATTATGCCACAAATCATATTTACAGTCTTGCATTCATGGGTTAGTTGTGCAACTTTATGTAGCCAGTGTTTTATCAGTTATGGTAAACATATGCAAATTTTTATGTAATATATTAACTTCTTGACATTTATCTAGAGACAACATTTTAGAAAAGGAATTTTGTGCAAGAATATAACTTAACTGCATTTATAAGGACAATAATACAGAGAAATATATATAAAATTTTAAGTTATAGTTTATAGCACATCACCGTAATATCTTACAATTAAGCTATAGTAAACATTAGGTGCATACATAAACCTTAGTATAAAATTTCAAATTTTACAAATATGGTCTATGGAGTGACATATATTTAATATTAAATATGCTACTACAAAATCATATATTCTGCACCTCAGTCAAAAGTAAAAACATAGAAAATATTTTGCAGAAATGAATGAAATATATGTATTTATATCATCTCAATGTACTCATATTGACTTTCTGTAAAAATCAATTTCCTTTAATAGTGTTTGACACAATACCAAATAGACGCTATGATGTCCTGCTGATGAAATTTTACAGTTACAGCACATGGATACATGTGTCTTAAACAATTAGAACACTAACTAGAAAGGAGACAAAGATGAAAGTGAATACCTATAGCTTGGATGCAAGGAAGGTTTTCTCTTTCTCCAGAGCTTGTTATAAGGCTTTGGATTATTAATCACTCAACAGCAGAGAGAGTCATTGCAACATGAACCAGTAAAAGTGCTGTTATTGTGAAGATCTTAGTGAAGGTTACAGTGGCCAAGAATCTGAGTCAGAAAAGTAATACTCATAAATGTTCTTCATAGCTGTTCACTTAACTATTCTGAAATAAGTATATACTTACACTCAGTGGTTGACGAAGTTAAGACAAAACTTTTTAAATTTATAATCTTGGAGAATTTTCAGCAGACTATTTATATATCTATCCACAGCTCATTGGAGAAAGTGGTTGATCAACTGCATATTCTTTGAAATTATAGTCATCCTTAGGATTGGTATTCTGGAAAAGGATCTTATTTAGCGTTAAAAGGCAGCAGTATAAATTACCTACCTGATTCACTGGACACCCTTTGGGAACAAAAGAGTTTTTTAATTGCATCTTTCATGTCCTTATTTCTCAGACTGTATATAATAGGATTGAAAAGGGGGGCAAACACAGAAAATGTAAGAGCAATGGCGTTGTCCCAGAATGGTGTATAGGTGGAAGAGAATCGAAGATACATAAGGGCCACACTCCCAAAAAACAACAGGAAGACAGCAATGTGGGCAGCACAAGTGGAAAAAGCTTTTTTGCGACCTTCTGTTGAGGAGATGCTCAGGATAACAACAATAATTCTTATGTAAGAAAGAGAAATAATCAAACTTGTGATGAGAATAGCGAGAGCATGTATCACATCTTGAACCAAGATCACTGAGGCATCAGTACAGGCTAACTTCAACAAAGGAGTAAAATCACAGAATATCTGAGTGATTTGATTGGGGCCACAAAAAGGTAGAGTAGAAATCCACACAATCTCAGGTAAAAGGATGAGGAAACCAAATATGCAAGAACCAGTAGTGAGCTGAGTACATAGCCGGGATGTCATGATGTTAGGGTAGCGGAGTGGATTACAGATGGCAACATACCTGTCAATAGCCATGACAGTCAGAAGGGTCCCTTCAGTATTTCCAAGTGAATGGAAGAAGTACATCTGTAAGAGGCAACCAATGAAAGAAATAGTCTTTTGTTCACTGATAAGATTTGAAAGCATCTTAGGAATGGTAGCTGTTGTATACCACATCTCAAGAAACGAGAAGATACTAATGAAATTGTACATGGGATTATGAAGACGAGTATCCAACCTTACAGCAAAAAAGATCATCAGGTTTCCTGTCACAATAAAGATGTAAATAAAAAGTAGAGGACAAAAGTACAGGATGGCACCATTTTTAAGCTGGGGGAACCCAGTGAAGACAAACACAGTCACGGTAGATAGGTTTCCATTCTCCATATCGCCATCTAAGTGACCTGTGAATGAGGGAAACATCACACTCAACTCACATGGAAGATATTCAAAGCAGTAAAACTCAGGCAAATATTGGGGATATAAGGACAGATGGCTGAGGACCTGAATTTAGGTCCACGGTATCTATGTGGAAATGCTGGGTGTTGGGACCCACACTTATAACCCCAGTGCTGGGACATGGAGGCAAGAGGACCCCAGAAGCTTGACAGCCAGCCAGATAGCCACATGGGTGACAGTCAGTTTCAGTAAGAGTACCTGTCTGAAAAAAATAAGGTGGGAAATGTTGGATGACAATCGCTGAGGTTGATCTCGTTTTCACTTGCATGTGCATGCATACACATACCTAATTTTTGCATATACATGCAAGCATGTAAACACATATATGTGAATTATTATATGTTACTTTACAAATATATCCCTTTAAATTGGATTTGTTATTTGCAATTTCTAATATTCAAAACAGAATAAGTTGCCTGTATATCTACTTTGGCTTTTGGGTGAGCATATTATAATGGTTAATAGAGTGGATTCATGTTAAACATACTGAGCCTGAATTTTCATTCTGTCCACTATTAACGAAAGAGTGGGAAATTGCATGATCTCTCTGAGTCTTATGTCTTCCACTGTGCATGAAAAGTATTTGTGTTTTGAAGTTTTAATCAAATGAGTTAATTTATAAAAGAACTCATTATTGATGTTTACGATATTTATTTTCTTTATAAACTGGCTTGTGAGAGAATAATGCTAACTGTATCTCCTTTAGATTGTATTACTTCTTCAATCATTTAATAGGTAGTTTTTTCCATTTTTTTTGTCATTCGGAAAGCATTCTGCCTTATGTATCCCTGTCATACTGATATCAAACCAGTGGAAACTACAGTAGTTATATTATGATTATACTTTTGAACCAGGCACAGACACATAGTACTCTTAGAAACTTTTTGTTATTGATTTCCAATAAACCATCATTCCTGTGTTTTCCATCTTCCTATAGCAACCTTTTAAAGATTATTCATTATTTAAATCACTATTTTATACTTTTATGTGTTGACAGTCATATTCATTCCTTATTTTGTATGTCTGCATGAACACTGAAGACCTTAAAATCTGGTCAATACACACTTCCAGCTGAAGAAAATACTCTCCCATCATTTCTCATTGTCTCAAATCTTAAGCTTGTTACACATCTCTATAACATTCTCAATATTCATGTTCTCATATTTCACAGAGGCAGATTCAAAGCTCACCATGATATACTCTGCAGAACTGTGACTTTTAGCTTTCTCCCTAGGATGCCCCCTTTCCTCTTTTTTTTTTTTTTACCTAACTCCGATCTGTCCTCCAGTCTCAATTCAGCTGTTATCTCTCATGAAATGGCTATAGACTGTTACTACTGTCATCTCCTCCACATATTTAAACACACACACACACACACACACACACACACACACACACTTGCAAGCATGCATACACACACATGCACATGCAACCACATGTATACTCCTTAGTTTTTCGTTTCACAAGCATTCTCTAGATGGTCTCACCAGAATCCTGACACTATAGCTGCAGGGGGGGTTGTTTTGTATGTTTGTTTGTTTTTGTTTTTTTATTTGTTTGTTTTTTTAGTGTATAGTTTACCCTTGATAGATGTTAGGCACTCAGAAATAGTTTCTTTTCCAGTGGGGAAAAATTGAATTGAATGTAAAAGCAGAATTAAAACAGAAGAACTCTGAAAAACAGACAGATGGGAAGGGAAAGCGTCATCACTTACACCCATGAAGCTGAGCACAGGATGAATAACTGACTACTGTTTCATATGTTATACTACAGAGCCTAGAGCTCAAAATATACAATTTCTATATGGCCAAAAGAAGTTTCAAATTCCACACTTCCCAAAAATTTCACAGTTTGAACCATCAGCAATCAGTTACTGAGTGGCTTGTGACAAGTAAATGAAATAAACACTCACCTTTGATCTCAGGAATGCCAAACTCACCTGTGTCTAATAGTCAGGCTTTTTACTCTGTCCTAGGTGTCTCTGTACCTGTTCTTTCAGCACCTCTAAAACGTTCTTATAAGCATCCTTGGGAACATACCGAAGGGAAAATGAGTTCCACTGAGGTTTTATTCCCTCAATAATACAGAGAAAACACTTCCCTCCTGGGTCACTGGAGAGATAAACATGCTCTGTGCTTTCTGTTAATTAGATCCTTGAGTCAGGGAAAGTCAGTGTTGAGCAGGAGTCTTACAGATCCTGCTGAACATTGTCACACCCTTTATCAATGTTATGATTGAAAAAGCCAATCTCCAACTACATAGGATACCAGGAACTGCTGTGCCAAAACAGCCATGTAAGGATGCTGTCATTATTCTGTGTTGTAGAAACAAAGAGGAAGGAGGGCCATATTGAAGGTGATTTTCTGACGCAAGGGTGATGAATAAATTAATGTGTAGAATAGAGTAAAATTGCTATTAAAATATTTACTCATTAGAAATCCATGCATATTTCAAAGATGAAAATTAAAAAGTCACTTTTTATTTCCTCAAAGACTGCACAAAGTTTGTCTAAATTTGTCCTATTGATCTGCTAACACTTCCCATTTCTTATTTTTCACCAGAAAATGTGTCAATGATTGATCTCTGTTTCCCCTAATCTATATTGTGTCTTCCTACTCATTTTCTTCTTTTACTTTTATATTCCCCACTCCACTATTTCTCAAGAGAAGGCAGTACCAACAAATGATAGCTGCATTAAATTATCATCAGAATGGAATTGATTTTTCTCCGTGGGAAGAATAATTATCATAAAACATTATTTGTTCTAATATAATGACTATTTTGCCATTCAGAAGCAAATTCCATTAACGGTGTGTGTGTGTGTGCGTGTGCGTGTGCGTGTGCGTGTGTGTGTGTGTGTGTTTGTGTGTGTGTGTTGAGATGAGTGAAATATAAATTAATTAGAAGACAGAGAAGAATTAAAAATCATGTAGACGACCCTGAGATAAAAATGGAAAATAGGATTATTTTATAATAAAATAGTATCACTCTATCGTAGGAGAAGAGGATTCATTTCATACTTGAGACAGACATAAATATGTAGCACTAGAAACAAAGTAATAGGACATATTTGTTTTTCAGTATACCTACTACCTTCAAAATTAAGGAACAAATAGACAAAACAAAATCACAATTAATGAAAAATTAGTAGTAAACATTAACATGATTGTGGAAATAATTTGGCTGTTGGCCTGTATATCTGTCTGTATACCATGTGTGCATGTCTAAGGCCCATGGAGGGTCTTGAATTTCCTGTGACTGCAATTACAGACATTTGTGAGCTTGCATGTAGGTACTGAGACCTGAACTTCCAGCTTCTAAAGGGGCAGCTAGTGCTCTTAACTGCTGAGCTGAGCCTTCTTTCTACTCACGTATGTTCTGGTTGGGTGGTCTGTTTGTTTTTGTTTTGTTGTTGTTTTGTTTTCTTTTGTTTTTTTCATCACAGCAAAGATTTTGATTTGAGTCATTTTGTTTGACTTTTGTATGAGGTAAAATAGGGACCAGAATTTAATCTTCAATATGTGGATACCCAGTTTTCCAGTCTCATTTATTGAAGAGGATCTACTTCCTTGACTGCGTATGTTTGGCAGTTCTGTTGAGAATCATTTGACTACAGAGGTATAGATCTATATTTTGATCCTCTGTTGTTTCTCATTTAGTCCTTGTATTCTTTTTAAGCCAACTCCATCCTACTCAGTTCACTGCAGTTCTGAAGTTTGTCATGAACTCTATCATGCATTTATCATTTCACTTAGGAATTGTTTTGTTCAGGCTTATTTTGTGGTTCCATATGAATTTTAAAAGTTTAACTTTATTTGTGCGATGAATGACCATTTTTATAGTTTTTGTGAAATTTGTTCTGTGTTAATTTTATACATGTATATAGATCCTTCTGATCTGTATGTAACTCCTAATTCTTTTCTTATTTTCCCCAAACACTTTACCCCTACTTCTCCCTACAAATCTCTTTATCATATTAATGGCTTGTGGACATTAGTTTACTTGTTTGTTTGTTTGTTTTGAGACCATCTGTGTGATCACATGTTTGAAACTACCCACTAAAGTCTGCTGGGCTCCTCAGTGGATATACAACTGAGGACAATGATGACCCCTCCCTCAGAATCCAGTTGGCAGCAGTTCAGCAAGGATATTTCAAGATTTAGGAAACTCTTTCCAATCTATATTTGATTGTGGATATGTCTAGTCTTGTGTAGGTCCATTGAAAGTAGCCACAGATCCTGAGAGATCATGAGAGCACTGTCTAAGCTTTACCCACAGGATAGCACTGCATAGTTCTTTTACTTATCTCTTTGATCTTACTTTTTTTTTTCCTATGATGATTTCCTGAGACTTAGAGAGGGCAGTACAAATGTCGTGTATAGGGATGAAAGTTCAGTTGTCTCTCATTCTCACCACCATCAGATGCCAGGAATATCTGTGTTACCAACAGTCTATACAAATACACACTGTTTCTCTCATTAAGGGTTTGAAGAGCATTTGTCTATGGGCATAAATATAAATACTTGTAAAGCAATTTGGCACTAAGCCAATTTAGATTAAAAGTAGTGAATTTACTCTGAGTGAACAAATACTTTTTCAGTCATGTTTTTCTTTTTTTAAAAAACTAGGTTTACAGTACTACGCATGGATTCTATTTTATGTCCTTAAATCAAATCAAGCAGTAGCTGGTTACTCATAACAGTCATTCCACTGTTAAATCAGTGGACATTTGTGGTGTGCCAGGTTGCTATTATAATTTCTAGGGATAACAGTTGAGAAAAGTTGTTGAAGCTTACTTTGTCCCAGCAGCATATTCAACACTGTTTGTCACTGTGAATATGCACAGCATGGAGGAGGCTTCTGTGTGTTACGAGAGTTTTAATTATAGATCTTTTTTTCTAACACATGAATATAAGATTTTTCCCTATGTTTGTGTATGTCCTCTTAACTTTTCT